GCGAAGCGCAGGTTACTAAGGTATTCTCTATTAACTCCTATTCCTAACTCTTCCCATTGTAAGCGTTTGAAAACCTTTTGTAAGCACGCACTATATAGCATTGTGGAGATCATGTCCTCTTGTCTTACACCTTTATTTACTGGTACTCTGTGTTTTTCATTATGGAGCACTCCTGTGGCAATTGTATAACTGAAGATTTCTTCCAGGATGTTTATATATGCTTCGTCGACGCCCTTAATACACAGTGTCTGTATGATTGCCGATATCACCACTCAATCTAATGGCTTCTTGTAGTCTATGCATAGTAGTTGGTTATATTCTGAGCATTTCACTATCACCTGATAGACAGCATGAATTTGGTCGTTCGTTAGGTAGCCCGTGAAAAAGTCGGCTTGATGCTTCGGTTGATTGAATTATGATGTGTAATTCTGTTAAATATTACTTTTCTAAATAGCATGTATGTGACATGCTATGGCCGCGAATAGCACACACTCGCACAAAGTAAAGAAACACTCAGCACAAGCGCAAGCATGTATATATTAGAGCAAGTCCTTGTCATCTACTTTTTTAAGATGTTAGCATTCTTCCAAGATTCTGGTACCCACCCCGCCAGAAGACACTTCATAAACAGCGTGGCCAGTTTTTTTAATATAACCTGTCCTTCGTTTTTCAGCAAATCTGATGTACTCTGACTTTCACCAGCAGCTTTGTCTCTTGGTATGTTCTCGAACGCTACTGTTACTTTTTCCTTATTTATGGGACGTCATCTGCGGTACTTCTAGCTCTTACAATAAGGGGGCGGCTGTTCTGACTACTGTACAGATGCCTTGTTGAGTTTGCCTTGGAAGGTGTAAATAAGCTCTTAGCAAATATTTCTTTTGAATAGCAACTGGACCCGACCATATGGCAGCAGCAATGGTAACTAGTTTTTCTGAATTTTATGCCCATATTTTTGCTATTTTTTCCATAAGAGTGTAGAGACAAGCACCGTTCCAAGTGACTGAAGATTAGCTAGTGTTGTGGCTGAATAGAAAAGTGGACCTCAAAACTCCGTGAAAAACTACAGGCCAGTGTCTTTAACTAGTACTACTTGCAAAGTAATTGAACTTGTTATATATAGTTTTATAATGTCGCCTCTTGCTGAACACAACTTAATAAAAGCAAACCAGCACCAATAGAGGCAAATATTTTTTTTGTAGTACACAGCTAGTAGAATTTACTCCCAATTTGGCTCTAGAAATAGATAAAAGGCAGGCAGTCTATTGCATCTTTCTATATTTTCGCAAAGCGTTTGATGTTGTGGCTGATAACCTTCTTATAAGCAAAAGATACGTGTACAAACTGACCAAGAATGTAATCACAAGAATACGCGAATACCTGTCGCACAGACAACAGCCTGTGGTTCTCAAAGGCATTTTCTCCGAAGTCACCGCGGGCACCTCGGGAGTGCCCCAAGGCTCTGTCTTCGGGCCTTTATTGATTTTTTGTACGTAATTGATATCACTAGTGCCATCCCATGATATTTAAGGATGTTTGCAGACGACTGTGTGGTGTATCGAGTTACTGATTGTGATTCTGATTTCTTCAACCTTAAGAGTATATTAGATAAAGTTTCAGCTTGGTGTACGAATTCGAGATGTTTGTATATGTTTAGAAATGTTCAGTCATCACCTTTAGTAGGAAACGCTCACTTGGGGCATATGAGTACAAAGTGAATAACCTTAAGTTACCAGGGCTACGGATTATGAATACTTAGGGGTTTGTTTTACTTCGGATTGAAAATGGAATAGCCATGTACAGGAAATAAGAAGAAAGGCAGACAGCTGGACACAGAGTTTTATTGAGGTCCTGAGGAACAATACCTCAAGAAGGTAGAGTAGCGGGCCACTCCCACGTCGGGACGGGTATGCCGAGCCTCAGCACGCAAATTAGGCTGCCTCCGTCGAAGTTTTGCACAAATGCCTAGTAACTTGAAAGAACGGCTGTATTTCACTCATGTACGTTCGATACTTGAGTACGCATTTGCGAGCTGGGATCCTCATACTCTACAGTGAGTGAGCTTAGTAGAACAATTAAGAACAGGGCTGTTTGATTTGTTTTGTGAAATTACAACAAATACCTCAGTGTTCCTAAAAGCAAGCGTGCACTTCTTCAGCAGGACTTAAAGAACAGGCAGAAAGCACTGAGACTGAATTTTTTGACAGCATTCTTTATTACAAATCTGGCATTACAAGAAACAACTATATCGCATTACATCATATATTTCGCGTAGAAGGGATTCTGATTTGAAGGTTCATTTCCTTTAAATGTGACACTTCAAATTATTTATATTTGTAGGACTGCGAGCGAGCGCAATGCTATCTCGCCAAATATCACAGAAGTTCAATGTAATGGTGGTTTTTACCACGCTTTGTGTGTGGAAACGAATTGCCATTTCATCTACTGGTGTATATAGCCCCCTCCCTCCTGATGTATTGCCATCAAATGCAATGGAGGTACTGAATAAATAAAGAAATAAATAATAAAATTTAACTCTGTAGAACACATACGCTACTTTTATTATCTCATTGATATATGTAGTCAGTTTGCTTTCCCTGTCCTTTAGTGTATTTACCTGTTTTCTGACTACGCAAGCTTCTTCCTGACGTCTTTGACGCTTTCTGTTTTCTTTTGAGCATGTTCAACACTTTACATGTTATACCTTATTACAGTTGATATCTAAGATTTCATATTCAACTTCGAATACAATGCTGGTTTTTTTGTCTGTTGTGCTCGAAGCTTTCACGCTTTGACATTTCCTGAGGAGGTTATTCGTCTCCTGGGACAGCTTGTTAGTGTCCCGTCTATCTATCGTACCTCAAACTTTCACTGAAGTCTCCTCAAGATTACTTGCCAAATTAGCATTCACAGGTACTTCCGTTTTTTTTTCTCTCGCTTCCGACGGTTCGGCACATTCGGCCTTTTTACACACTGCGGTCATGACATTCATGGCACCAAACTCGCGCTGTCTGCTATCAATTTTCTGGCGCCATTGCGAACATACTCACGGTATATTTCTACCAAATTACTCAGGCGCAGCTCGTACACAGCAACGGGAGTTACAGAGGCGGAGGCGTGATCTAACTTTGCTGTACATAGTCCCAAGTGCTTTTTTCGCCTTCTGAATAATAAGCATGGATCTCCCTAGCTGCCTCTCCTGCTCCATAAAAATTCCATATGTCTGCCCCTTATGCTTTCTGCATCGCGTTCTTCCTTAAGTTTTTGTTGTTCCACTTCGAGCGAATTGTGCAGGTGCTTGCCTGCAAAAGCTAATGTTTGGCTGTGTTGAATGAGCTTGTCAAGCTTCGTGCTCTACATTTTTATAAACAGCTGCCGACTAACAAAGCAATACCACGGCAGCGGCATACTGCAGGCTTCACGTTTTACGTCACCACGAGGTCAAACAGTCCTGACGCGGATGTCAGGATATGTCCCACAATTTGGGTAAAGCTTTACTGTTCTGACAGCTACGTGCGGCAGGCTAATAGGCTTCCACTTTACGCTTCGGTATAAGACGCCTGAAAGGCTTCGAAGTGCTGCAATTCGAATTTTTGTTGGCCGGTCGACCTGTTCGGGGTGGCACGTATAGGAATGTTGAGATTGACCGACGAACACATGGAGGCAACACGGATATGTGATTAGGAACAAATGAAAGCAGACCAGCATGAGTGAACAAAAATCACCTAAGTGGAAAAACACAAATACGCGCTAGCAAAAGAACACCTACAAAACAAGCTATGCTGTAAATTGGCACCTACAAATACAAGCAACGTGGTATATTTATAAGTAAACGGTATCAATGAAAAGAGGCACAAAGCAATAAAATAATAACTACTAGAATTATCATACTACTCCTCCAGGCTTTTTACCTGTGATGCAGCAGGCACTGAAACATTATATACAGCTCGATATATTGAAATAACATAGAAAGGAACAAAGATCACTATGAATAGTTTCGTTAGAGCCGAGTCAGCTCGTGCAACACGTAGGGATGTTGACGGGAGCCACTTATGATCTGGCTAGCTTAAGGAGAAGACGAGAATGCAAGGTGTAGCAGGGGACTGAATTCGTTCAGTGGGACATTCCGTATTCGCGGCGCCAATGACCACGCTCTTCACTTGTTCATTGTCAGCAAACCTTCGAAGCAGTTAAATTCTTTTCGAGTGTACAAATCGCTCTTGGGGCCATTTTCTCTACACACGTACGCACCTTTTCGCTGCAGGTGCAGGAAAAACGGAGCGGGGGCACTACCGCCTGGTCAGTTGCCACAAGTTTCTATCCGTCACAATTGGCGCCTATACTCTCAATTTAAAGGACAGCGTCATGAATGAAGGTATCGCAGATAATTTTCGAGAAGATAATATCAATGAACTTAATAAGGTATTGTGTGATAAGGTCGGAAATGCCTTTGGTTTTGCGCCGAGGCTTGCAGGCCCTCAGAAACCTATTAAAGGCTTGCTGTAGGGCCCATAGTTAAGGCTACAGTTGGAACCGGAGCACATATTTTGAACATTGAGGGCTTTCTAAGTCATACCCAAGTTTTAACGTACAGGCGTTTTCATTTCATTTCCTAACTATTATAACTGGCTGCCATAACCTATGGTTGAAAACACTACCTCAGGTTTATCAGTGTTACACATACAACTCTACATGCGTATGAGCTGATATCATGAAAAGACATAAAGAAAGATGGATATTTGTATTTCAAATACAGTAAACCAATTTTGTCGCACACAGGGTGAGAATTCCCTTAATCAAATGAAGCTTTCTCCTAGCTATGTTTTTCTCACCATGTACGCAGATTAGTTTTAGCACAGCAGCAGTTGAGCAACCATTTTGAATCATGCCAGACCAGTAATGAGGAAAACACACAATAGCATTATGTCTTTGCTTTAGTTTTTCTTTGAGTTCTGTTTGGGTCATTCATTAATGAAAATGAAAATATTCATTTTTCTTTTCAGTTACCCGCTTCAACTAATGTTCTTTACCTCGTGGGATACTCCAAAGAACTTAACACGTCACGGTATTCATGCGTAGCGTCTCGTTTCTTAAAATTCGGGGGAGGCTTCATACACCGGACCCTGATCTTAAGACCTGCAGATGTAAGTGGCACTACAAAAACTTTCCGATTCTACGTATTGCGACCACCTCGTTCACGTGAAGCACACAGAGAGTAGCTTTCCATTCAGCATCTTTCTGCTGTTGTCTAGCAAAACGTTAAGAACCAGGTGGCTAGTACACTGGGGATTTGCCAAGCACGTCAAGTTGACTGGCATCTAAAGTGTAGCTTATCATTAGATGTAAGATCACTACATAAGTGAAAACACACAGGCCAGTTCATTCGGCACAAATTAAACGCTGCAGTAGGATGAGGAATCCATCGTGTGTAACCAGTTTTGACGTATTTCTCCGTGGCTCGCGCAATACTGAACTGTAGTTTCCCGCGTGGTTGAAATACGTGTGCAATGTTTCTTTCATTGATTTTAAAGTGGCTAGCTTGCATTTTAAGTATACCCAAGTGCTATCCCGAGATGACTCTTGCTAGGGCGTCTTCCAGCGGCAGGTTCTTGCGCTGGTGTCACTTTGTGGTAGGATACTTGACTGTTACACTAAACGCCTTCATTCAACTCTAAAGAGCACCACAATTTTGATTCTCTGCGTCTATCAATATTTTCTTCGACATGCACTGTTCTGAACAATCGTATGAAATCAACCTTGCTGTGGCAGGGTCATGGTGCAAGGCTACTTTAGGTGAGCGTACTCCGGGACTATCCACTGCCTGGTAATGTTGTTTTTCGAAACGAGCCCAAGAAATGGCGCTGGTAGATATTCTGTATAGATTCTGTGCATTTATGGCTAAAAGAGAAAGTGGCAGGGCAAATGACAATTCTTCGTTTTGTGTACTTGTGGACGGGAGAAAAGGCCAGAAGAGAAAACCAGGCAATGGTAGCGTGTATATAAATTGACATTCAGGAGTTAGGAGGAGAGTTCGAGATAATTATACTAGGCGATATGAATGCGCACATAGACGATATAGATGGGTATACTGACCCGACAGGCAAAATGATCATGGATATGCGTGAAAGGCTTCATTTGATCATTTGCAGCAGTACCGAGAAGTGTGAAGGGCAAACAACATGGGAGGTAGGAAGGCTGCAGTCGACGATAGATTACGCACTGATGTCACATAGGATATATGATAAGCTCAGAGGAATGCACATAGATGAAGGTGGCTCCAGAAGTCTGGGTAGTGATCACGAACATATCAAGCTATGTTCTGGAAGAGCAGTGAAAGTGGAAAGGAGACAAGATGAGCAACTACAGGAAAATTTTTATTTGGAAAGGCAAATTGAAGTAGCTGCTAAACAAATTGAGAAAGTAATCAAGGAGGATAATAAAACAGTGTGGACATACACGAATCTAATTAGACTGTTTGAGCTAGAGCTTGCTAAGGCATGTGACAAGTCACCCCGGAAAAGAAGACACGAACCCAAAAGTTGGTGGGATGAGGAAGTTAAGAGAGCCATAGCAAAACACCAAGAAACCTCTAGGCAACACAGACATGCTAAGCAGCGGGGTGAACCGACAGGTGATGTTGAAAGAAAATGGGAAATCTTTCTAAGTTTTACATGGGATGTATCCCTTCTGATCATTGAAAATATTAGAAGAAAGGGAGCTCAGCGGCTAGCAGAAGTACACAAAAAAGATAAAAAGGCAGCTGCGAAATTTCGGAACTATCTAAATTCCCTAAGAAATAAGACGAGACTAGAGAAGAGGTTTATAACTACAGCTCAAGGTGCTAGGCTAGAAGGGGACGAATCTATTGAATATATAAGAACAAGGGTGACAGGAAAACTTCAACAAAGAAATGCTTTATGCACCACAATAGACAACGATGAATCAAGTGGCGCTATAGCTCCATTTTCATTACAAGAGTGGGAAAGGGCTGAGAAAAGGGTTCCTAGTAGTACATCAACAGGCCCAAATGGCATTCCAATTATGCTGATAAAGACATTAGGTCCGAAGTCTAAGCAGGCTTTGAAAGAAGCAGTGAGCAAAATAATATCGATAGAGAAGTTCCCGATTAATGGAAACTTAGCAGAATGAGCATGACCTCTAAAGGAAAGAGGGACAAAGCTGACATAAACAAATACTGTCCTATAACAGTGATAGCAGTGGTCTACAGGCTGGCGATGCAGATTAAAATTAAAGACTGCTGGCATGAATAGAGGATGATGTGGTGCTGGGGGCACTGCAGAATGGGTATCGGAAACACAGGAGGTTGGAAGACTATCTGTTCTCACTGTCGCAGTGCATAGAAATAGCAGAAAAAGAACACAGGCCCCTGTGGATAGCAATTTCGGATATAAAGAGAGTGTAAGATAGCGTGGTTCAAGAGGAATTGTGGGGAATACTGGACACACTAGGCGTCGAAGATGGAGTCACTAATCTTTTGAAGGATATCTATATAGGTAACAAGGTAGTTATAAAGTGGAGAAAACAGGTATCCAAGCCTGCAGAGGTAAAACGGGGGCTTAGGCAGGGGTGTCCTATGTCACCCTTATTATTCATGATGTATTTACAAGGATTAGAGGCCAAATTAGAAGAAAGTAGACTGGGCTTCAACCTCTCTTTCGTCAAACAAGGAAAACTCATTGAACATGCACCACTGGCATTGATGTACGCAGATGATACAGTGCTAATGGCCGACAACAAAGAAGATTTGCAGAGATTGATGGACATCTGCGGTAATGAGGCAGATAGGTTAGATTTCAGATTCAGTAAGGAAAAATCAGCAGTCATGATTTTATTGACAATGAAGGTAGTGAACTAAGAATACAGGAGGTCACGCTAGAGATAACAGATAAATACAAATATCTGGGCTATGGATAAGCAATGGGGCTGAGTACCTAAGGGTACTCAGCCCTAAAGGTAACTGGAATGCAGCGGTGATGAAAAAGAGGGCACTGTGGAATTACAATTGGTATGATGTTGTGAGAGGACTATGGAAAGGGGTCATGGTTCCTGGTCTGATGTTCGGCAGTGCGGTCTTGTGCATGAGATCAGAAGTTCAAGCAAGATTAGAAATTAAGCAACGTGGAATAGGTAGGCTTGCCTTAGGAGCTCATGGGAATACACCAAATCAGGAAGTACAAGGTGATTTGGAAAAGACATCATTTGAGGGCAGGAAAGCTAGCAGCAAGATAAAATTTGAGAAGCGATTGATACAAATGGGGGAGGAGCGTTGGGCTAGGAAGGTATTCAGCTACTCGCACATGAAGAATGTCAATACAAAATGGAGGAAGCGAAACAGAAGATTGGCTGGTAAATACATAGAAATAAGCAGGGGGCCAAACCAAAAAGAATTATCGGTTAAGAAGAAGGTGAAGGAAGCTGAGACCGATATGTGGAGAATTGGCATGATTAAGAAGTCCGCACTAGAGATATATCAAACTTTTAAGGAGAAAATTGCCGAGGAAAGGATCTTTGATAATACTCGGTGTAGTTCTCTACTGTTTGAGGCCAGGACGGGAGTATTGTGAACCAAGACATATCGGGCCAAATACGAAGGGTAGACACGGTATGTAGTGCGTGTGGAGAGGAAGAAGAAACTTCCGAACACTTGATAATGTTCTGTAAGGGGCTTCACCCTATAGTTCAGGAAGATGGCGCAGAGTTTTTCAAATCGCTGGGGTTTAGGGACAGTGAGAGAAAAATAGACTTTGAGCGGGTAGAATTAAGTAGAAAGAGGTTATCTGATTGGTGGCTAAAGTCTAGGTACGAGTGAAAATTAAACTCTTCACTGCAAAGTACGAATCCTCAACCTCGCTATTTAAGGGGAAAAATAAATCTAGTTTTTGGTTCATCAAGTATTACGGCTTGGTGGCGCTAGCCACCACCCGATCTAAAGGTACACCCATGTCCATCCATCCATCCAGGCATCCATCCATTCATCCATCCATCCATCCATCCATCCATCCATCCATCCATCCATCCATCCATCCGTCCATCCGTCCATTCGTCCATCCGTCCGTCCGTCCGTCCGTCCATCCATCCGTCTATCCATCCATCCATCCATCCATCCATCCATCCATCCATCCATCCATCCATCCATCCATCCATCCATCCATCCGTCCATCCATCTGTGAATCCGTTCGTCCGTCCGTCCGTTCATCCGTCCATCCAGTCATCCATCCATCCAGCCATCCATCCAGCCATCCAGCCGTCCAGCCGTCCGTCCGTCCGTCCATCCATCCATCCATCCATCCATCCATCCATCCATCCATCCATCCATCCATCCATCCGTCCATCCGTCCATCCGTCCATCCATCCAGCCATCCAGCCATCCAGCCGTCCATTCGTCCATTCGTCCATCCGTCCATCCGTCCATCCAATCATCCATCCGTCCATCCGTCCATCCGCCATTCATCCATCCATCCATAGGTAACATGGCTCAGCACACATATTTCTTCCGTCGCTCGCTTCGCTATTAAACGAGCGCTGTCCCGAAGTGCGAATTGACGTCAAAAGTTCAAACTCACGTGGCGAAGCCAACTTACGTGCAAAATGGCGCGGCGCCCACGTGTTCTCGGCCCGCACCGCCTTCAGTCTCTTCGTGAACGGCATTAGGGGCTTTTAGCTTGTACGTATGTGATTTGCGTTACCATATTACCGGATAGAATTCGCGCAAGCGTGGGTCTTTACAAAATGTGAACGTTTACCTAACGTAAGATACCAACCTGGGTAGGTTGTTCTTTTGCGGTGCTATTTCACAAATCCACCTTTGCTTGTGTAAACTTGCGGTATCCGCATTGCGGATACTCCAGACATAGTGTCGAAATAAGCCGGAGTTCGAGCGCCATTAGCGAATAAATTGTTTCAGCCATATTATTGTAACTAGAATGGCCAGAAAATCAAAAACGCAAACGTTTTTGATGTTCCTCGACAGACAGAATAGGTGGCGCCCTCTAGCGGTGTGAAAATGAACCACAATTTTCATTGCGGAAACATTGCGCATTGTACGTCTGGTGTAGAAACAGCACTGCGGCGTTATTAAGAATAATTTACTTGTTTATTCTTTTCCACCTCTTTTTTATTGTTGAGGTTACGTCTCAAAACCACCATATTTTGAAAGAGATGGCGTCGTAGAGGGCTGCGAAAATTTTTACCACCAGGGGTTCTTGAACAAGCACCTAAATCTAAGCACACGGGTCTCAAACATTTTCGCTACCTATAGTAATATACCGCCTCACTGCAACCGTGGAATATTGTTCAGCGCGCGGGGATAACTCTGTGGCATGCCGTCCGCGCAAGAACATGTTCACACCTGAGTTATCGTTTGCCACCACCGAGACATCGTAAACATGCTGCTACCACGGAAGTGACTAGCAAACTCGAGCCTTCTGCCGATCAATCCCCTTACCCAATCAGAAGCCAGCACCTTAATCTACCAGATGGCATTAACCCTGGAACTTTCGGTCCTCACATCACTGTGGGTGGCCGCATCGCCTGAAACATCAACTTTCTCATTACCTACAAAAGAGCTGCGATCAACCGCGGAGCCTTGTGGGCTTGCGGCTCTGCCACAGTCCAGAGCAGTAACTGGCTTGCCTTTTTTATGAAGGTCAGTAAACAATATCCTCTGTTCTAAAAAAATCGTGCAACTATTTTTTGCTGCAGCTGCCGAGCTCACAATGCTGGTATTTGATTGTTGTCGAATGTATTGACGTCATTCGTTCTTTCCTCATGCAATCTGGTGACGTCGAGTTGAATCTGGATTCCAAATCAGCCGATACTCGATGAATACATAAAATACCACCAGGTCAGTCGAAACTGATTTCTCAAGTGAGTGACGTGAAAAATGAACTTCTAAGCACAAATCAAACTTTCGCCCACTTGAGCCAGTGGACGAATGATGTTGAGAAACATTGTCAGAGCCTTTTTTTTTGCTTTGCTTAGAAGTAGACAGCATTAAGTCCAATACTAATCAAACAACCTTGGGTTCTTTAACGTGCACCCATATCTGAGCGCACGGGCATACAACGTCTCCGCCTCTATCGGAAATGCAGCCGCCGCAGCTGTGATTCGATCCCTCGACGTGCGGGTAAGCCGCCAAGTACCTTAGCAACAAGACCACCGCGGCGGGGCGTGTGATTCACCCTGAACACAAACGTACGATAACACTTTCTAACAAAAGAGTGATGTTATAAGTAATGAGGAATGTACAGATGTCTTTAACACCGGCTTCGCACTTGTATTTACTAATGATCATGCTATGCCTCCAATTGTAGTAAGATCATAGTGCATTGCCAGTAAACTGCCAATGCGCAATTTTGTTTCTTTTCATTGATGGCATAACATTTCGCATGAATAATTAAAACTGAGATCATCAGCTGATTTTGGCGAAGTTATTTCCATGTTTTTACTAAATACCGGAAGCCTCTCGGCTGCTTTGTTATGTCTTTTGTTCTCTCAGTCCCTCTCTACAGCACACTTACCCGATGACTGAAAAGTGGGAGAGGTCTTTCCCATCCATAAGTCTGGCAGTAAGCAGCCACCACTGAAATATCGTCCATTATCATTAACAAGTATACTATGTGAAATCCTCGAACATGTCATCATTGGCAAATCATAACCTTCCTTGTCTTAAATGATTGTTTTTCATCCGTCACAGCATGATTTTCGCAAAGCTCGATCCTGTGAAACTCAGCTAGCTACCTTCCTCAAGATATACACTGAAGCTTAGACTGTAACCATCAAACTGATGCTATCTTTTTAGATTTCGAGAAATTGTTTTATAAGGTGTCTTATGAGCTTCTACTTTTCAAGCTTTCGAGCCTAAACATTAACCATTCCCTATTGAAAAAACGTCCACCTTAAGAATGGTGGATTCCACTATCCACCATTTCGGTGGATTATGGTGCTTGAAATGTTGGTGGGATATGGCGTACGGTGGCTTATGGTGGAGCGGATGGTAGATGGCGCGCTCTAGCCGGCAATGCTGGAGCGCGAAGCAGCGTCACAACCACCGTGACGAACTGGCACTAAAGAAATAATAAAACTAATTGCATGAAAAACATTGTAGATAGCACCCATGAAGAAACGTGCGTCAGCGCGGAATCGAATTGGCCACCCACAGATTCTCAACTGAGCACACTGACCACTGCACCATGCCGACATTTGGCAACTTGGTGTTAAAGAAGTAGTGGACTCCAAAACTCACTGTTCAACTTCAGTTATAATTGTTCCTTACCTGAGATAGACGGGATCGGCACATGCTACTAAAATTTGCACATTTGATAAACACTAACAACTGCTGCCTTTAATGATTGCCACTGCGATAATGGCAACAGCGATATGTTTTTGTTACAATTTACAACCGCGAGAAGAAAAAAAAACTCAGTGGACTGAGGAGCAGGTAGAGTTTGTCGGTGGTAACTACCAAGTGTAATATCCGCTTCTCACTCCTTTCATAGGGCGATATCTGCTCAGGTTTTATGGCGCTTCTATTCTCATTCGATAGATACGCCCACACATTTGATTATGATGTCTTTCGCGCAACGCACAACACAGTCTTGCCACCGCACCGCTGTTGCTCTGTCGTTAAGATCAACTACCTAACGGCTTGGCCAAAACGAGTGCAGTGCGCCAGAAACATTATGCTATCATAGTGGTTCAGTAAGCATACGAATCGACGAGTCTGTGTTCTCGCATAAGAGCCAGTGAAGTGCCGGCGAGTGTGACTGGCGGCTGTCGGTGAGAAGAGGCGTACATTTGGTGGAAGTGCAGCAAGCGTGTCGCATCGATGTTTGTCGCTTCTTGCGCGGATACCATACAAAATAAAAAAAAAGCTTCATTGAGGTTCAATGATGCCACAGCTTTGCTTTATTGTCATTTATATCGTCAAAATTGTGTATTCTGAAACCCATAAGCGCCGACAACTCTTGTATGGGCTCGGTTGGTATTACTTATCTTTGGTGGAAATCATGGTAGTAAAACAGAAGGTTGAAAGTAAAATTCGCTCGGGCTCGTCTTGACGCATGTTGAAGTGAAAGTGTATGCATATTCGCACGCACTATGTTAACCTAAAGATTCGGATCAATCAGTAAGAATTTCCAGAGCTGCATTTCTAGCGGGGTGACATCACGTGACTACTGTCTCGTTACGTAACGTGACTACTGTCACGTTACGTGTTCTGCTCTAACCTTGAAATGGGGCAATTGCGATCTGAAGCTAATTTATTTCTCAACAACAGCGCACCGAAGTAAAAAAAAATTGTCACTGTTCACAGTGACACCTCTAGTCTTCTAAACATCACAACAAAGAAACACATCGCAGATAAGTAGGTGCGTAAAATGTAAACATATGCACGGCCGCATATTCTATGCTGCACAAAAATTGAAGCGTTGTTGACACCACAGGAACAAAGAAATGAACATGATAGAAAGCGTAATGGGCAGCGTTAGTTTCTTTTGACTGTAAACATATGACTCGTCGCATTTAAGGACGAAACACTACAAACAATTCATTTCACATACTGTCATGTGCTTTTTTATCACACTGCCATCATCCACCAAGCTTCCACCATGCCACAGTCATACACCTTGCTCATCAAGCGTTCCACCAAACACGTTCCGCCTCGCCACCATCAGCCGGCGTTTTCCACCATCACCACCACCATCTGCCACCATTTGTTTAGGCTATAGCCGTCACCAGCCGGCATTTTGCACCATGAGCACCATTGGCTTGCCACCACGACCCCCATCTGCCATCATTTTTTCCACTCTCGCCATCATTAGCCTTTATGCCCACTACAGTTTCCACCATATCCACAAATATTTCCACCATTTCCACTATTCTTTCCACCATACCCACCAACGATTCCAGCATCCACCAACCCAGGATTTTCAATTGGGCTGTGTTCTTAATTAGATTGCGAATTTTCTGAGGGAGCACTCACAGTCAGTTTTGTTAATGAGTCTGTCTCTAACCCTCTTCCAGTAATCTCTGGTGTTCCCAAAGGTTTGGTTTTAGGCTTCTATTGTTCCTGGTATTCATAATGACTTACCTTTACACGTTTTATGCCCCATTCGCATGAATACTGAGTACCGGTGTTATGTCCATTCTGATGCCATTTTTGTGTGGCATTCCGCCATTGCTGTGTGTAGGTGTAGGTCAACAATTTCATCTACCCTAATGGAAGCGAAATACTTACTCTTCTTTAACAGTTAGCTTGCGTTAGACATCAGACTGGAGATGTGTCGTTAGGCCCTAACAAAGGTACTCTCACATCTGATGGTGGTGTACCTTCCTAATACCGATAGACGTTGTGCAACTTTTCATATATAAATATGCAACAAACAGTCGCCTCAACTCTGGTAAAGACATTGTGTACTTTCATGTTGCACAGATTTCTATGAGGGAAGAATCAAGGTTTTTTTGTTTTACTGGTAGTTTACTATGCAAATTCAAATATGAATTGGCTAATTGGCTATAATTTCTAAATTCATGATAGTCATTCGCGAGTGTGAAGGACAATCAATATTGTTGCGTTTTACCGGAGCAGGCAAAGCAAAAAAAAAAACTGCAAAGAACCATACATGTTGCTAGAAGGAACCTTGCGTTGCAGTCAACATTTTGCAATTACTAGTTAGTGTCAGAACTTCCCAGTTCAATTTTCGTAAGCACGTCTGTCGAGTCTTGCGACAACGAGTACCGGACTTGGTAGGAAGAAGCATCGGCTCAAGCTAAAACATTTTGTAGCTTTTTTCTGTGTACTGGTCCATAAAATTTTTATATAATGGTTAAAATAGGCTTTATCGGCAGCAGTATATTTATATACGATAGGTTTACGAATTTGCGCTTTAGGGACGTTTCTCTGACTTATCAGTGGGTGCTTTGTTCAAGCGGTTTTATGGAAATTAAAATAATATATAACGTTAAACCAGTTAATATGTTGATGCCACTATATAGCACGGAATTTCATAGTTTCTCGCTACATTCGTAAACTCTGTTTTATTGTCACAAACACGTGTTCGTCATCTGAATATTTACCGTTTCGTATGTTTTTCTTGTCTTTTTTCAGTCAGAAGGAAAGCCGGACGAGTATGTATTTCGCATAACATTTATAAAACTTGCAAAGCGCTGAAGTGCCAACAGAAATTCATTTATTTGGGCTTTGCATTATTGTTTATCAAATTATATATTAAGTAGTTCCATTTTTCAAGCTGTCACGTGACTACGTTCAAGGAAAACATTTAATTGTGAATGACAGACAGATAGGTTTATGAAGGACAAGCATCTTGGAGTCTGTCTCTCTGTCGATGTATGTATGTATGTATGTATGTATGTATGTATGTATGTATGTATGTATGTATGTATGTATGTATGTATGTATGTATGTATGTATGTATGTATGTATGTATGTATGTATGTATGTATGTATGTATGTATGTATGTATGTATGTATGTATGTATGTATGTATGTATGTATGCATGTATGTGTGACCGCATACGTCTGCGTGCTCTCTCGATTGTCTGAATAACATAGGACAGACCAAAATTAATTCAGGAGGGCGACAGGGCTTCACAATATTGCCGCGCTGGTCATGAAATGAAAAAAAGTCGGCAGATCCTACCTACCTGGGAATTGACGTTATGCGAAGCATGTGGAGTGAAAATAACCATGTTGCAATTTATTTATTGAGCGACACGTCATGAAAGGACGCTAAATGTATGCATTGTATTCATCGTGTCTTCTGGACCTAGTAAAGGTTGCCTTCAGCGTTGCATCACAGTAAAAATGTTGCACGCACAGAGATATGTTAAAGAGTTGCAGATGTTTATATAACCAAATGTTTGCACTTGCACAACGATGCCAACTAGAACATGCATACTAGCAACACCAGACATTGATATAAACTACTGATGCTCGCGAGTATGCTGGCCCTGGACACTGCTACAAAAATCAACTTCAGCGCATGGCAACTAACCTCAATTGACGTTAACCAGGTGCGATGGCTGTAAAATAGGAGAACATATTTATTGTTCATAATATTTGGTAGGCAGCACTGCATCCACTTTTAGGTTGCACAATGACTAGCGTCTATGTAACAAGTATCTCCGAGACCTTGCATAGCTCTGTGGTAAAATGCTTCGATCATTGCCTCGCAGAATGCTTCGGTTTGATTCTTGCTGAGGACCTCGCATTTATTTTTTAGGCATTTGTCGGGTCAACGCTACCGATGTCGAGTATTTCCTAAGGCTTGCGCATTAAAAGGGCTCATGTGTGTTCTCGTCGTTCCTGGGCACATATAACCACCCGTGGGTATGTGCCACTGTCCAGCGGGAAGTGTTCGACGACGCATGCAATGGGATTGCGACGTTAGGGAGTTTTAGTGCAGGGTACCCATGCGGCTTGCGTACCCAGGACGTTGGGGCGGCGGTATTGCGCATGCGTGAAACCCCAAACAGATGCGTCGCAAGATCGCTGGGGCGATGGGGCCATGCGTCCGCGTGGCCATAAACAACGCTGCCACCACTGGCGTCCTAGCGGAGATAAGCTGCCCCGGCGCACATGCTGGCGCATCATGTTACGTTCACGGCGAGCAAAACCGAGGCTGGCCAGAGCCACCACTTTGACTTTTAGGTTTTAAGGGCAAATAATATAGTGGCTAGCCACTACACAAATAGCATGGCACAAAGGCGCTAAATCTCGGGCAGCATGGATTGGCCGCCTTGTGAGGTCCACCTTCGCAAGAATTCTTGCGAAGGTGGACCTTACTCCGTGCGGACACCTTGCGGACCTTACACCAGTGCGGACACCTTGAGTTAACTCACGGTGTCCGCGTTGCGCATACTCTAGCCGTCGAGTTAAAATAAGCTAAAGTGCGAGCACTTATAGCGACTACATGGTTTCAGCCAGATTTCCAAAGCTAGAATGGCCTGGAACATTGAAACTAAAAATATGCCAGCCCCCCCCCCCCAACAGCTGAATAGGTGGCGCCATCTAGCGCGGCCATAGTGAAACAGACAACCACAACATTGTTATTGCAAAAACATTGTGCATTGTACATGTGGTGCAAAAACTGCGCAGCGACAATAATACAAATGAGTAACCTTTTTATTGATTTTCACCTCAAAAACATTACGCGTAAGCTAACATGTTCATGACTGTGGTTGCATGAAGTGTCACAAGATGTCACCACTGTCGTTACAGTAACCTTGTATTTATCACTTTTTTGCGTGTACCAGAATACTTACACTATAAAAAAGGGTCCTGATCCCTATATATGTTTAATTTAACATTTAAAATATAAAAATACTTAAATACTACTTACGCGACGAGACGCTATGGCGATGCGAGCACGTGTGACCTTCGTGTGGCTTGCGTTTGCGTGCGTGCCACCGTGGCGCCAACTAAAAGACATTCTGGTTGAGTATGATTTTGGGCACGCAACGCCGCGCGCTCCCAAGCCCGCAACGCCCCAAGAGATTGCGTACCCAGCACTAAAACTTCTATTAGAGAGTTTTAGTACTGCGGAATGGTGCTACGTACACACCACGCAAGTGCCTTGCGTTAGGTGGCGTAGTTTGCCACGACTTCGCTTTTAGTATGCCATAGTACCCGCATACCCACGTACGTAATGAACGTCGAGCAGGTTGTGCCATTTCGTCGATCAATATAGAAGTACGTGTTGTTGAAGGCCAACCTGAGTCAATTTAGGTCTGCTAGTCGAACTACGGCCGTTTTTTAGTCGCTGTAGTACGCTGTAGTACGCATTTGATGCCGCAATTTTGCCAAACGAAGTCTCGAGCTCTCGCAAAAGTGTTAGAGAGCGGCGCGACCACCTTGTACGTACCCATGGACACGCTGCATGCGTGCGTGAGTAGAGTAACGCGATACGTGCGCGTTGCGGTCTGCGGATGCACACTGCGCGAAACGTGGAGTCCTTACGTACGCAACGCCATCACGTATGCCACCTACGCATTACTAAAACTCTCTATTTTTCATGTACTGACAAGCGCGTCATACTTGTCAAACCATATTACCCTCCCATGCTAATTTTGGTTCACGCCAACTAAACAGGACGACCACGAGAGCACCCAAAAGTAAGCTGTTAGATAGATATATAGGTAGATAGATAGATAGATAGATTGATATATTTAGATAGATAGATAGATAGATAGATAGATAGGCAGGTAGATAGATAGATAGATAGATAGATAGATAGATAGATAGATAGATAGATAGATAGATAGATAGATAGATAGATAGATAGATAGATACGCTAAAAAATGCTTCGCAATTAGAAGTGAAAATGCCGTCAGGAGCGTCGTGAAACTCCTTGCTGCAGACACGCGTGGCGCGTAATCATAAGAAACGGGCCGTGGTGCGTGGTATGAAACAGCGGATTGATAGTTTACATACCAAGAAATGGCAAAAATACACATTGGTGATTTAAATGCTACAGGGTTAAAGCATTGGTCCCGTATCCGCATGTTTCACTGCAAATGCCGTGGAAAGACAATATTCTTGCGTCTGGAGAGAGTGAACAAAACGTTTATTTGATGTTTTGCGCGAGAAAATTGGTGAATTGTATTCTGGAGGCGCTGCCCCGCCGCGGTGGTCTAGTGGCTAAGGTACTCGGCTGCTGACCCGCAGGTCGCGGGGTCGATTCCCGGCTGCGGCGGCTGCATTTCCGATGAAGGCGGAAATGTTGTAGGCCCGTGTGTTCAGATTTGGGTGCACGTTAAAGAACCCCAGGTGGTCAAAATTTCCGGAGCCTTCCACTACGGCGTCTCTCATAATCAAATGGTGGTTTTGGGACGTTAAACCCCACAAATCAATCAATCAATCATTCTGGAGGCGCTGCGTCAGAGTGTCTCGATCCGTGCGGCGAAGGTGAACGAGTGCATCAAGCCACGTGAGAGAGGAGCGCTATCTGGCACTTATCTTTGAAAACGAAGGAAGGCGTGCATGCCTGTCTCGGAGGTGATAAGGTGTAGGACGCAAAGCGACGGGCAGGTGCCACCACCGTGTTGTCTTAGCAAAGCGTTGGAAACACTTGCCTTTTTGTGCATAGCGTTGCATGGTTAGCGCTCCCACCACGGTGATCTAGTGGCTAAGGTACTCGGCTACTGACCCGCAGATCGCTGGATCGAATCTCGGCTACGGCAGCTGCATTTCTGATGGAGGCGAAAGTGTTGTAGGCCCGTGTGCTCAAATTTGGACACACGTTAAAGAACACCAGGGGGGTCAATATTTCCAGAGCCATCCACTACGGCGTCTCTCATAATCATATGATGGTTCCGAGACGTTACATTTCATTATATTCAATCAATGCATGGTCAGCGCGGCGTGATAAACAATGCGGTCCTTAGAATCACCTATGTATGCCTTTTCTAGTACAAAGACACACGAAAAGAATATTGACGTGTTGTTATCGTGTTTTAGATGTGGGCACTATTTGCTTTTTAGTTGACAATCGCACAGGTTTTAATGCAGACATTTGAGCAATAATGGCGTGTGTTGCCGATAGGGTTAGATTTTAGTCGTTGGGTAAGCACACAAACAGACCGAAATTTTTGCGTCGAAGTGCCTCAAGAAAAACTATCGTGTTTGAAAATTTATCTTGAGTGCATTGACCACACAAATTCAGTGTGTAAATGAGGCTGCAACAGTGTCACCAGTGTTAGGATGCGCGTATCGTGAACTCGGGCAGAAGAATGCAGAATTTTTTCGCACCCGTAACCACGTGTATTACTGGGTTATGACAGCACGCAATAACATACAGAAACCATGGAAATGCTACACACATAAACAAACAGGCCAAAAATGGATGAAATAACTGATTTAGTTTCTCCACTCTGATGTCCAATTGATGTCCCATCTATGCTATGGTGAACAGCAATTTTTAGATGAAGTTATTCCAAATGCAATACTTAATATTGCAAGAGGAGTGTAGGTAAGGATTACGGTCAGAGCCTTCGAAGCTTGATGATCAGGTGTGGAGCATAGCCGAGTCTCTGTCTTGCCCTGGAGGAAAACCTCGTTGCGTCCTCTCTGCACTAATTCCTAAGGCGTTATACCGTTTTCATACTTT